TTGTTCTAAGTAGGTGCTTTAGACCACTGAGCCATCTCACCAGCCCTCCTACCCTCTCTTACATCACCCAGACCAAGCACTGTTTCTTGCTCTGGGTACTTTACCATAGAGATTTGTTAAGTTGGCATTAAGCCCTGTGAAGCCAGCTGCCGAGAACCAGAGACTATGGATTTACTTTGTGTTGATTAAAAAGTATTACTAAGTTAAGGGAAAGAAAAATAGTTAATTTCTGAAAGATTAGGGCCGGGGAGATAGCTCAGTAGAATAAGTGCCTGCCTGGCAAGCGCAGGGTCCTGAGTTCAATCCCTGGTACCGCAAAACTAAATAAATAAATAAAATAAAATTTCTGGAAGATTCCCTGTATTTTCCTTTCTTTAAGATTTTTTATTTTTATTTTGAAGAGAAAAAAACTTCAAGATAAGATAGGATGACAGTGGTTAATACATTGCATATTGTTATCTTTAAATTAATTAGAGTACAAGATACTGGCATTTAATTGTCCAAATAATATTTTTCAGTGGGTCTTATTTACTCTTTCAGCATCTCAAACCAGAGAGATGGTATGTTGTTTACACATGTGCATCTAGTTTATTTCACTGATGAGTATGGTTTCAAGTTGTATCCATTTACCTATAAAAGTCTCTAGTTTATCCTCCTTTATGCCTCCTTCACGTAAAAAAGACCTCATTTTTTTATACATTCCTTTTGGGTTGTTTCCAAAGTCTAGGTATTACAAGTTGTGCTGCTATAAACTTGGGTGCACATATATTGCTGTGGTTTCTTTCTTTTTTAAGGAACCCTAGGTATTCTGGATCCAAAGAACTGGTTTTCATGGAAGAAAGAATTTGATAAATGTCTTTACCAACTGTTTAGTTTTTTTTTTTTTTTTTTTTTCTTGGTATTTTAGGGAAAGGTCTAAAGGGTGTTCAGGGTCTCACTACTAGATCAGACTCATAATGATCCACCTGCTGACAGCCTCCCAAGAGCTGGGATTACAGGCATGCGCCACCACGCTCAGTCTCAATTGCCATCTCAGTGCACTCCAGCATGGCAGGGCCCAGGATTGAACCCCTTGACCCCTGCACCTGCTTGCAGGCACTTTTTTTTTTTTTTAAATTTTATTTATTTGTGTGTGTGTGTGTGTGTGTGTGTGTGTGGCCAGCTCAGCCCACCAGGGGGCAGGGCGGGCTGGCATGTGGTGCTGGGGGATTGAACCGTGGTCCTTGTGCTTTGCTAAGCTTGTTCTAAGTAGGTGCTTTAGACCACTGAGCCATCTCACCAGCCTTTGCAGGCACTTTAATCCACCGAACTATTTGGCCAGCCCCCAACTTTGTTATTAGCTAATAATTATGTTGTAGTTTTACAAGGTTAAACACATTTTAGGGAAGAAGTCAGAAGAATACAGTACACTTGATGGGCTATTTATGACGCTGGAAACTGAATCCAGTATTTTCTCACTGAGCCATATCTTGTCTTTTTATATATCTTTTATTCTGAGTCATTAAGTTGGCCATACTAGGTTTGAATTTGTGTTCCTCGCATCTCAGCCTCCCATAGGGGTGGCAACCTGTGAAAGACAAATGGGAGGAGTTTGTGTTCTCTCCAACAGAAGAATAATTTTTAGGAACAACAGAGGTTAAGAGCAGATTATATTTACTGGGGGAAAGAAAGCTTCTGTCTGAGAGGGACAGAAGTGGACTGGAGTGGGTTACCAGAGAACCTACCTCCTTTTGGTTTTTGTTTTTGCCTTTTTGAGACAGGGTCTTGCTATGCAGTTCAGGCTGACCTTGAGCTCACTTTGTAGCCTGCCTGGCCTCACATAGTAATCCTCTTGCCTTAGCCTCTGGAGTGCTGGGTTTTAGGCATGTGCCATCCAACATCTGTCACAACCTGCTTTCTTTTTTTAAGAAGTTCTTTTTTAAAAAACATTTATTTATTGTGTGTGTGTGTGTGTGTGTGTGTGTGTGTGTATGTGTGTGTTCAGCTCAGCCCACCTGGGGGCGGGGCTGACTGGCATGTGGTGCTGGGGGATCGAACCGCGGTCCCTGTGCTTTGCCAAGCTTGTTCCAAGTGCTTTAGACCACTGAGCCATCTCG